TAACTATATAGCTTAAGAGTATGATAGGTCATAGAAATATTTTTTTTTGTTTTAATTTAAGTTTATATTGAAAGTATACAAACTAATTTTTAATTTATTAATTATTGAATTAAATTTATTTATGTGATAATAATATAAAAATTAATATTAATTTTTATAATTTTTTATATAAATTAATGAAAAAAATATTATCAAACAAAAACCCTAAATTATATTAGCCGACATTCGTGAGAAAGGACAATCATAATTTATGAGGACGTTAAATAAATTAATCTTGTAGTTGGTGTAAAATCATAATTATGTCATGAAATATTTAGCCCCGTAAGCAGTAATTTAAAAATAAAGCCGGATGGAAAGTGCAAAAGATGGCCTCTTTCTTCAAAAAAATTATATTCAAATTAAGGACACTAAATTTATCATTTTATAAGTCTAATACAAAAAATTGGACCACAATATGATTTCTTAATTAATTATTCTCTAGCATGGACCCATCCAAAATAGGTTTATATATCCACCTCAAAACTCTAACGTATTCACAAGACAAGAGATTATCTCTTCTCTAGCTAGTACGTACTAGCTACATAAATTTTTTTGTTAATTTCTTTCTAGTTAGCATGCATATTGCCTAAGTTAATATATTCAATAATATGAAATTTAGCACGTAGTATTATAAGATTAAGATTAAAAGATAATGAAATTATTATTGGATGTTTTAGAACTTTATTGATATTTTTATAAAATTTAATAACAAATAAAATGGTTAGATATGTTAAATAATTTAAATTTTAGTTTGTATGATTTACATAATAGAATAATCAATTTAATTATTGGTTGCTTATTAAATTATTAACTATATTGCTAAAGATTATAAAGTGTATAAGATTTTTCTTTTTAATCTTATAGTATATGTGTAAGTTAATTCTAATTTTTAAAAATACAAAATATATCTAAAAGGTTAGTAGTGGTCCTAATTAATTTGGACCATTACCAATTTTCTATCATAAAAAATAAATTGGAGCATTAAACATTAAAGCATTTGGACGAGGCAGTACGTGAGAGACCACCCACAATCTTATCATACTCAAATCATATATACATCGTTTTCAATACCAGAAATTTGAAGTAGACTTGTAGGTATGGCATGATCTTTTAGTTTACCTAAAAAGTTTCTTCATTTCCTTAAAAAACTGTTTCTTTGTTTTTATGTCCTCCCCTCACATGTCGGCCAATTAAATCCAATTAATGGCAATTTGAAAATTTTGGGACCAATCAAATCATGACCTAATTTTAGTTTATTATACGGTAGAACTACTTCAGTCAGTTATACTTGTTATTATACTTATTTTTAAAGAGTAATGATAGAAAATATAAAAAATTTAAGATAAAAATTTAGAATTAATGGTATGGTTTATGTTACGTTATTAAATTAATTGATATATAATATCACAGGTCTCAAAAAAATAAAAAAAATTAATTATTAAATAATATATAATCTATTTTTTAATATTTTAAATGATGCAGTATAAATCAAGTTATCAGTTTCATATTTTGATATAAAAATTTATTTTAAAATAATATTATGATTTTATAATATATTTTTTAAAATTAAGGGAAATTGAGACAATTGAGAGAGGGAAAATATAGGGATATAAAAGAATTGAATCCTGATAGTATGAGTGGAGTATGCACATGATAATCACACAAATTATTGGTTCAGGGTTTCACTTTTATAATATATATAAATGATAATTTGAAAACTAATCAAATTATGACCTAATTTTACTTGTTATTATACATATTTAAAAGTAAATTCAAGATATGCACCTTCTTTAGCTATTGAAGACAGAATTCCCACTAAGTCGTACCTTCATTACTAAGATGAACAACATGAATGACAACGCCTTATATTGATGTGTTGTTTTTGTGGTGCAAATGTAGAAACTTTGAACCACTTGTTTCCTGAGTTCGTAAGTGATTTATAATTTGCGTGCTGAATGTTTCTCCTCACGAAATTTTAAATTCAAAGTATAATATATTTACCACGCCACGTAATATTATTTACTTTTATTTTTCATGAATTAAGAATCTTGCCTAACCAGGTTTCGAGTTGGACGATAATCCTGCCACGTTAAAAATCCCGACCCCATAAAACACTTACAGTGTTTTTAAAAATTAAAAAAAATAGTGATATAGTCAACTATTTAAGTAATTAAATGATAATTTTTTTTTGTGAAAAATAAAAAATTTTGAATTTGAATTACATGACATGCAAGTGAAGTGAGATAATGAATAAAAGAGAATTATTTCTCATTGTGCAACCAATATTTAAAAAAATAATAATATAAGGGTAGTTTTTTATATCATTTTTTAATATAATTTTTATATATTA